ACAGCGCGCTTAGCGAGCAGGATGTTCAGAAACGGCGGGGAGTCTGCGCGCGTAAAAAGCGCAGCTGGCGGAGCATGGAAGAATAGCCTCGCTCGTTTCACGGCCCTGTATCTCCAATTCCTTTCTGGGCATGTTTGGGCGGGGGGACTACGACGAAGCCTCGAGATAGTCTCAGGCGTGGAGCTTGAGGTAGTCTCAGTACAGAAGGCCATTTACCTGAATCCACTGGTATGAAGCCCGTTAACCATCCGTGTCCTTTAATGAAGCTTCTGTACACCTGTGAGGCAGTCTCGTGCTGAATCCTTCACATGTACTGACACCTCTACATTTTTATCAAAGCAGCAACTTGCTTCACTCCTATCTTTGTAGAAAGCCCTTATAGATCTCCGATTACGAATCTCAGTCTCCATTCAACAGTTACAAGGTAATGGCAAGGACGTTCATGGTTAAGATGTCACGACATTGGGGAATAAACCTTTTGCTCAAGTGCAATACAACTTACTTGTTCAACTGCATCACACCCTTTGTGCCCTTGGACTCTCGTTTTACGGGTATGCACTTTTATAGGACAACACGTATTACTCGTTTTCGGCACTAGGGTTCTCGAATGGGCACACACACACACACACACACCACTCGATTCACACACAAACACACAACCACACACACATCACACTCACGACACACTGGCTCTCGGCACACACACACCACACACACACCCATAACACACACACCCCACACACAGCACACACACACCACACACACACACACACACACATGGGACTGCCTGATCCAGGTTCGCGGCAAAATCACTGGCGATTGAAGGCCATTGTTTCATTGTCAGCCCATCGGTTCATCGCACACCGATACTGCTTTTCTGAAAAAGTTTCCCAACAATAATCCAAGAAATAATTGGTGAAAAAAGTGTTACAGTTATCGCTGCAAACGAGAGAGCATGTCCTGCCGCCAGCGATTGTCGGGAAACGCTATAAGGACTGTGCTCCAACGCACGCCCACTCACACGCCCTCTCCTTTGCAGGGATATAAGGAATTTTGCGACATTCATTCTAATTAGCTTCTGTAGCAGAACATAGAAGCTTGCTTAAAAGGTATGGGTACATGTGCTACCGTCGAAATAAAATCGAGCCAACATCAACCAATTTCTGGACATTCATGACCTATTGTCTTGATTGAACACCCAAAACGTCGTCACTATCGAATGAATTCGGAATGCCTGAATGAGAAGACATGAAAGGGAGTGATCAACAGGTTCATAGACAGGCCTTTTTATTCTACATCCGCCTCGAACGATTTCATTTCGAATCCTGACCATGTCATTTCCCAGGCTCTATCGTGGTGTTCCTCTTGTTCCCTTGGGCGTCACCTTCTTCGCAGTCTCCGCAGCTGATGACAGGTCTCTGTAATGAAAAAAAACTTATATTTTGGCCCATCCCCCCCCCGATGTGGGACTTCGGGTACTTCGGGTAGAAAACAGCACCTTCTGAATGCGGAAAACATTAACTTCTAGACTTCCATTTATAACCATGCAGCATTGATCTCTCAGGTAACCTGGAATTACCTGCATTCGCAAGTGGAGTGGATCAGAGATCGGGAACATCGTACTTCTGGGAAGAGGTGCTCCATCAGCCACTACTGGTGAGCTACAGTAGTTGCGGCATTACAGTAAACACGAAGCCGGTATAGTTCAACGAAAATTCACGAATTAGATAGTAACTGGACAAACTGAGCCATATCCTGAGTTAAGCGCTGTTAGTGAGTTGGCAAATGGTTCTCATGGACTAAACAATCGAACGCACAGCCTTGTTCGCTGCGACTGCTGGAGCGGGTCAGGTCAGGGTTCCGGAAAGCCCTTAGATATTCATCAACCCAGCCAGCTATCCGGATAATCCCTTCTCGAGACACCGTTCGGCACACGAACGAACGTGCCCCTGAACTCAGGGTGCGCGTAATGCGCAGGAACATATGTGACCCGGTGGAGAGGAAAATAAAGGAGGCGTTGGAAATTCGAAGAAGGAACCCACCGCTCAACAACAGGGAGGAGTTAAGAAGGACAATGGAGCTCATTGCTGCACCATGATGTGACATCACTGGTGATACGTGACATATGACAAATATCAGTGTATCACCATCTTGCCACTGCTTCGCCTTTCTGGCCGTCTCATTTCTATAGGGAGGACAGCTGGGGAGTTGAGTCAATGTCGCGTACTCCTTGTTCTCGTCCATCATTCAAAAATCTTGCAGCAAACTCCCGACCACTCCATCCCGGACCCACTTCAACCCAGGCCGTGCCCCTGTAGGAAGTTGGTCAGTTGTTAATTAATTTGATTGCTTTCCCTCTTCGAATATCTTGCGATGTGTGTGTAATAGTAGGATTGTTGGTGTAGGCTTTGTACATATATGATATTTGTAGCCTGAAGAAGGGCTTAAGGCCCGAAACGTCGCCGAGAAATAAAAGACTTAGAAGAGTTTCATTCCATCAACCCAAAAGGAGATTAGTAGGATTTGTTTTACTATGGCAGGCGATTCGTCAGATTCTGACGAAGGGGAAGTTCATGAGAACGGACTAGGCTCTTCCATTTCCGCTCAACAGTACGAACAGTGCAGGTATTGGTTGGTATAAAAGGAATGGCGTTTTTTCTCACTTGAAATATCGCGTTGAAAATGTCAAGTTTCACAACTGGGTTTTATACTATTTTGCAGAGAATTCCTTGCATTAAACGATACTCGATTTATTTTTTTTTGCTACTGTTTCCAGTGAAATTTAAGAGCTTAAATAGAGTGCCATGTCGACAAAATTGAACATTTTCGACAGTCTTTCTGTTTTACTTGTGATTAAAAAAACTAGAACCGCGCAGACCTAGTTGCTAAGTATAGTTTGTAACATTGCAAGTTGTCGGGGGCGGCGAGCACAGGGCGGCACGAGCTCGCGTCCGGCTGCCTTGCTCTACCAGTGGTAACCGAGCAATGATCGATGCAGGAAGGAATCATCCATTGGTGGGAAGGCCGCAGGTGGGAACCGCTGGTTACGACCGGGTGTGTGGTGTTCTTAAAAGATCTCACTTCACACCTATCATGCCTCTCAGGAAGACTCGCCTGCGGTGTTGCCTGACTTAACTGCTCTCTCACTAACTCCTGACCTCTCCTCTACAGACACGACTGAGCCAAACTGAACATGGAAAGAAGAAGGAAAAAAATAAACGTTGGAAAAACAGAAAATTTTTTCATAAATTCAATTGTCAAGAACACATTTAACCACTTAGAGCAACTGAAATGCAGACCTACACAACATGACATTAAAATGGGAAAAATTGCAATTTAAATGGGAGAATGGGCACGTATCGAAAATTTTTTATCTCATCATGGAAGGTATTCCAAATGATTTGAACTTCTAGGCTCTGTAATTACTTGGAGGCTATGTGTTCTGCGCCAAGAACAAGTGGACCAAATTGATGGCCATCTATAGGGAGGGTAATTCGTTAAATATGACCGTCACTGCTTTTAACTGTTACACATCTCTTTTACCAACCTCACACCTAATATAGGTTGTCGCTAATCAGTAATCAAGCGAGCTGATTAGCGAAAATCTTTAGCTATGTTGTTTAAGTAACACACAGTAGAGCATGAACGATAACATTCACTCCCTTTCCTCCGTTCCCACCAATTTTCTGGTTATCCCTGATGTTTCCAGCAGTACATGGAAAGAAGAAGGAAAAAAAAATAAACATCACTCCCTTCCCCTTTATAAACGTTTTCGTTTTCATTTGATGTCGCACAAACCACTACTCATGATTCAACCTCATCGGTTCTTTGGGAGCAGTATACTACTATGCATGTGCCGTTTCCCTCATTTTATGTTTTCACCTCGACGCCACACATTTCGTGAGATGAACTTCGGCTCAACTCTGCCCTGCTCTTAACGCGCCGGCTTCATTGTCATATCTGCACATACCTCCACTCCAGGTTCCTAGCAATCTTCAGATTCCCTTTCAGCACCAGCAGAAACACAACCACAGAAATACATGGGCGGAAACACAACCACAGAAATACATGGGCGAACGACAGGTAAGCAAACATGGAAAACGAGATGTAATAATTTACAGGATTGTGGGCCCCAGTCATTCGCTCACTTTTTATTACATGTATGGGACCAAACACTACGAGGTTACGAAGCAGAAGAATATCGTAGAAAAATGTCTAAATTTATTTATGACACTACCATCTAAGCGTTTCATTTTAATTTATTTTAGCATGCTTTTTATCTTTGATTGTTTCATGTAATTCAAATTTTAATTGTAGTCCTTAATTCTATCAAATTTGCTAAAAAATCAGCAGTAACTGATCAGTCATCATGATGTAATCGTCAAGTAGAGGAGAGGTCAGGAGTTAGTGAGAGAGCAATTATGTCAAGCAACACCGCAGGCGAGTCTCCCTGAGAGGCATGTTAGGTGTGAAGTGAGATCTTTTAAGAAAGTCCTACACCCGTTACGACCCGACAGCCCGCAACGATGAAGGCTGTATATGGCAGCGATGCTATGCCTCTAAGGGATGCCTACAACGGCTCAAGCAATCCAAAGATTTAATTTCCTTCTTGCAGACAAGCATCGGACAGCGCTACGCGTAGAATATATCTCACCCGCCTTGGGCCGAGATGCGCCAGCGGTTCCCTATCTATGAACATGGTTGTGACTCGCTGCGTTCACTCTGTGTGGGACTGACTTGAAGTCTCCCTTGCCCTCCAACTCAACTACTAATTAACTGTTCTCTCGCAACCGCAGCCGTGTTTCGCGTTCGAGAATCGTTGACAATTTTTCCATTTTCTCTTGACTAAGCTTTCTTTGTTTAGTCATCAAGCATCTTCAAATCCATAGTTGTGCCTCAAAGCTTAGGAGCTAACTGCGAAATGTGTCTCAGAGGGACCTTTTCAACCATCAAACTACCCTTGAAGAACAGCAGGTTAACTGAATTCAAAATTTATTTAATCATTCATCAGGCAGCCAATTGAGATCACTCTTAACTGGACACCTTCCAGTAACGTCGCCTTTGTACTGATGAATGGCTGGTTTTTCCCATCCACCAAAGGGTTTGAAGTTGTTGAAATTCTGAAACATTTTTCGAATTGATTGCAAGAATAACATTTAACACAACTCGCAAGAATAGCATGTGCACGTATTGCACGGAATAGTGCACGTTGCTTTTTTCACCTACAAAGTGTTGAAAAACTCTAAATAATCGTGAAAAGCAGTCTTTTCCTTATTGGAATCCTCACTAATCCGAAACGGTGATACGCCTGCAGACATGAAACTCTGACGAAATTCTGGAGAATTTACAGCCGTTTTCGCTGCAGACAATGTTGCATGTCTGGGGTGGGATTTCCCCACTTCTAAAGCGGGAAAGAGAGAAGCGACAACGGTTAGTGGAAACGGACTAGCGCGACGCCGGACCCTGCTTCCTCAACACGTCCCAGCGCCTGCAGTGAAAACATTGCATATAAGCTCTGGAAAAAGCTTTTTGGAGCCTTTTCTATGCGACAAAAGAGGAATAGATCGTACAGCGAGGTACATCGTGCTTACCGGTTGGTTGTCATAGTAGGCCCACCACAGCGGTTTATCCTTCATGCCGGTATAGTCAAGGCCAACAATTTCTTTCCAATTGTTCAGGTTGGTATACACTCCCCACTTATGTCCATGCTCCTAGAAAAAGAATTGGGTCGGTTCTACCTGTAAGACATGTTTTCTTGATTTTTTCGAAGAGAAACTTCGAAGATAAAGAAAGCGCTATGAAGACAAGAGGGTACGCAGCATTTAAGTGGTAGTGAATTGGAAATGGCATCCCTTACGGTGAGCTTGTTTCCCATTTCTTCAATAAAAGCGCGATTTTTCACGTGATCTTTTGGCCACTGGTGTCTCTCAACGTCGAGCCATAGAGTGTCAACTTTAGCTCCAGCTTTCTCGAGTGCAGACGAAGCTGCAGCCACCTGACATTCATTCAAAAGTTATATGATCTATTGTCGTACTCCTGAATTCTTTCGAAGGAAAAACACGTAATTTGAATTAGCTTCTTTCTAAAAATTACCTGTTCAGCACCACCTTTACAAGAGGAAGATTGACACGGGAATATGTATCCATCAACACGTTTGATTCCAGCTGTATAAAGTTTTTTGAAGTTGTTACAAAAAAAGTTCATACTGACTACATGTTTCACCTCGATAAAATCGCTATTCCTTTGGGCTTCGTCACCACAGTAAATTAATAAGGGACTTCCGTTTGCTGAAGAAATCTAATATGCGTTACGATAGTTGGGTTGCGGGGAACAAGACCTGCTTTGGACTGGGCGGGATCTATTTCCCGAATTGAGCCTATGTGCTTGCGCTACATGCCCAGACTCTCTCACCAAACGATAGGTTACTTTATTTATGGGAGCGACCGCGGAAGGACTGTATTTATGGGAGTGACCGTGGAAGGACTGTACTAATAGATTGAATTACAGTAGATACGGCCTGTACATTCCTTAACACGTTGACGACACTATGAGCCACCAACGGCTCATAAGCGAGTGGTCGCGTGGGACAGTACGAGTTACCGGTAGCTCGTAAGCTTTTGCAGCTCTTTTTGAGTTATTGCCGTCAGCTTCTGTCGATCTTTTTTTGTATTCTAAACAAGGGGAAGGTGAACTCCCAACAGGGATGAGCTAGAAAACTATTGCCGCCTTTATGAAATATTTTGAAGTTAAAATTGGGACTTTTTGAGTAGTTATCGCTATGCGAGAAACTCCAGAATGATTCATTTCGGATGGAATTTTGCCTCCGGAACTGCTCGAGGCTCTGGTCACCAATGTCCCATTGTATATGTCGTCGGCACCATATGGCGCCAGTAGGCGCCATTTTGGTGCTAGCAGTCTTTTTGACGCAAATTCGATATAAACTTCTACATCTGCATTGTTTGACATCCTTATTGTACATGGTTCATTCGTATGTATGTAGCGCTGGCGCCATATGGCTTCGATAGAAGCCAAGAGCTAAAACGACGCCACCTGTTTCTCTTGCACTGATTCCGTTATAACCTTCTATACGTGGATTATTTGGCATCCTCAATACAAAAATACCCTTTCTTTTTAGTGCTGGTGCTAGAAAGCGTCAATGGGCGCCAAATTGGCGCCACGAACTTTTAAGCGAATATCGATTTAAACGCGCGAACTGTGCATCTTTGACATCCTGATAAGAAGCATACGTTCATGTTTGGCGTAAGCTTATGTGAAGCACTCTAGTTATGCAGCTGTGCCAAGGCTGAGAGGGGGAAGAGAAATCCCACCCGCCTGCGCTCAGCCTTGGCAGGGGGCTCTAAATACTCTAAATAGCGCCCATCCCTAAAGGGTGTGGGTATGGCTGTCTAGGAATTACTGTATGAGTTTGCAAGATAAAACAAGCAAAAAAAAGCACGAGAAGAGAAGTTGCTGCACGAAATTTGAAAAATCACGATAGCGCTGAAAAATGGGCGTGGTCGTGGGGGCGAGGCTTGAGTGTGTGTCTCACATGGTTAAAGTGGGTGTACTCCCTGCGAGACTGCTTCATCATTTCGCGAAACTGGAGACGCCGGCAAAAAAAGTGGCTCACGAGGGACAGTATGAGCCACCGGTGGCTCATGATGGTCGTATACGAAAGACATTCATTGTTCCACATGGCGCTTTCCCGCCAAACGCGATTGTCGTCAACGTGTTAAAACACGCCACCAACCGAAAAATAAAGCCATCGTCACGTTAATCCTACTGACAATGTACGTCTAATACGCGATTCAAGCGCTTTGGAGCATCACTCGTCCCCTCTTGACGACTTTACGTTTTTCTCAATTCACCTGGTATCAATCCGTCTGTTTAACCTGCTATCAACGATCCATTTCAATAATACACGAGATTCGACCGTCACGAAAATGAACAGGAAAGACGAGTGCCTCGCCACTGCAGACGAGCTCGCCCGTCCGTTGACAGGTGTTGGCTTCAATCGCCATCGGCTTCATATCGAGGGGTGGGTCATCTGGAGTCACCCACAGTCAGTCTAGCGGTGGTCCCAACAAAGCCTAGCGTATGTCCAAGGTGAGTCATTGCGTTTGAATCAGCGATGACTACCTAGATGCACTGGTCTATGATAAAATTTTTCTAAGTTTGAAATGATTTACGAGGATAGAGTCACTGATCTTTAACTTCCAGGCTCTGACGGAGGCGACTAGCCGGAACGTTAGCCCATTAAAGATTTGACACCTTGGTTGTGACTGCGGGAATTCCTTGAAGACATATACATTTCAAATTATAGTTTTAAATTGATTCACCTGCGCGAGCGTTTTTGATGTTCTCAATTCCTTGGTGATCGACGGCCCCGTTCGAACGGAAAACTCGCCCAGTGTAAGATTTGAATCCATTCGCTTTCATTTTTTCAAATTGCTCACGCGACATCTTCTAGAAAAGAATCAAATTACTTGTAAATCGCCAAGTTCAAAGATTGAGTGTAGCTCACCCTACGTTAATAAGGTTATTCAGTAAGTTTTCAGTTGAACTAAATAGGGCATTAGGTTCGATGCTTGTCTGTGATGTCGAAATTGAAATCTCTGAATCGCTCGAAACGTTGTAACTGTTTGTAAGAGAGACATAGCTTGGCCTTAGATATACATAACAACTAAGCATATGCGCTGAGCACTCGTCGAGCTAAGACTAACATCAGGCACCACTTCTTTGTTAACAGGACTGCCCCAGAGTATAACAGACTGGTACGCTTGGGAGTAACCACGAACAAACTAAGCGTTTTCAAGGCTGCTTTAGACAAACATCTCACATCATAATACCTTTTCAAGCACAGTTCGTTTTACTTGTATTCATTGTTTTCCTCTCTTGAGCTTCATGGCAGTTTTATACTAGTTTTTTTCACGCTCTGCGAATTTTGGTAGTGGTTTTATTCATACGCATTAAGTTCTAGTAGCTGTTTTGCTGTTTATTTGGTTTTGGTTTTGCGTTATCGATTTTTTTCCTTACTTACACCACACAGGATTACCTGTGTAATAAACAATTACAATATGCGATTTTCGTCCTTCAATTAGAAGTAAGAGAGGCTGGCGAAAAGGCTCATTTTTGTGACCTGGCACTACACTTTGGGCACTAATTATGAGTAACAAAAAAAACTAAGAGGAATATTGTATAGGGCAAGGACTTTTCTGCAAAACAGCATGAAACTTAATATCAAAACTTTTGACCTTTAACGCGATCTTTCGAGTGAGGAGAAAAAACGCTATTTCTCATAGGCCAACCCAAAATATTTATCAGCGTCAAGAATATTCTTTTTATCTTGGACTATCTAAATTGGGCTCAGCTTTTGATGCCTAATGTTTTATGTTTCATAAGAAGCGGATCAATAAGTTTGCATAAGATAGAAAAATGGAGAAACACCTTAAGGAACAGGAATGGCCGCTGTAAGCCTGGGCTAAAAGATGAAAGTTTTCCGAAGCTTGAGATGCACAAAAGGCATAATTCCTCTTGAATAGGTAGACCTACTTCAATAGTATCGAATCCTTTTTGCCCTTGACCCGGTGTTTCCTTGGCATCACACATTGCTCCAGGTACGGTCACGACACCAGAACTACTTTTCTGAAGAAGTTTCTGTGAGAGTATGTCCATGAACTTGATGGTGAAAACAGATGCTACAGATAATATTATCGCTGCAAACGAGAGAGATGTAATGCCGTCAATAACTGGTGGAAAATGCTGCCATGGTTGCGCTTCAACCACGCCCAATCATACGCTCATTTGCAGCGTTATGAAAAATTTTGCACATCCTGATTCCAAGAGGGATGAAATTGAGCCAACATCGACCGATTTCCGGGCATTCATGCCTATCTCTTTGAATGAATGAACGCATCGTCATTGTAAAATAAGATTTGAGAGCATACCTACGTGACGATCAGTGAACGAGCAACGTCTCAGAGCGTCAATGAAGGAACATTCCGCAAGCTGAACGAAACTTCCTTTTTCTCGGAATCCCATCTCTCGGAAGTCGAAACAATAGTGAATCGGAGTTTAAGATTAGTCCGGGCATTTCTTGTAGCAGTACCATTATATTCTTCTCCTGCGTCCTGGATCACCTGCTCAGCTTCTGCCGGATTCGCTCTTTTCACCGAGGCCTCTCCTTCCAATGATCATCCACGCATCAACTACGGACAGGCCATCAGGCCATTAGCAGCTATGTCTATCTTTGCCCCCCCCCCCATTGCAATCCAGGCCGACCTTTTAATTAGGGTCCCGGCAGTTGGAAACTGGCCGGACCCTAATCTTGCCTCGAACGATTTTATTTCCATTTCAGTCGATTCCCTTGTGTCTAAGGCTCCATCATAGTGTTCCTACCACCACTCCATTGTCTCTTGTATCTCCCTCGTCCAAGTTCCATAAATGGCGGCTGATTCCACAACCTATGTCTAAATAAGACTTCTAATGCACCGGCACTTCCTCGTTTCAAATAGCACCAGCAAAAATCTTCCTTAACAGCGCTGGCTGTAGCAGATGCATCGGGACTGGTATCTGAATTCGTAACAGGAATGGATCAGAGGTACGTGAGCCTTATAGTTCTGAAAGGAGCTGTTCTGTGAACCGCGACTGAGGAAGTACTGTTGTTGGCACCCTAGCTTGTTGAGAATAAAGGGGTAGTGATCGGCAAGAAGCAACAGCAACATTCTCGGCATATCGCTGCAGGCGATTGTGGTAGGGGATTCGACCTTCGAACTCCTGTGCCAGAACAATGCACATGCCTACTCCAAAACCATGAAATGCGGTAGGCGTGGCACTCGATGCAAACGTGGTGGTGTCTGCGCTTTCAAAGAGATGTTTTTATTTTGGGGCAGTTATCATGTATTTGTCCAACATAAGACAAGCTGACACATCTCTCGAATTGGAATAACTTTCAGGTAACCCATCATACGTCATTTTTGACTGGAGTACGTAGCCAAGCCCACCAGGTCTCATTGGTATGAAAGGGAACGTTGAAGATGTGAAAGAATTCGAAGAAGTGTGCGGTACGCATAAATGAAGTAGGCGACAAACTCGAAGCTACACGAACATATAAAATTTCAAGGCTGGAAGGCACATTCCATGATAGCAAATACTGGAACTGCGGGAAAGTCTATGGATAGGGTCGCGTTTCTACAGTAGTTATC